GGACTGGCCTAGGGGTATTTTAAAGGGGTTTTAAATTAAATTTTTAGTAGGAGCAGCCAAATCTGAATAGTTATTTTTAAATCTTTTTAAATTTTGTATTGTACTGTACTATTGTTTTAAACTGGCTGTAAGCCGCCCTGAGTCCTCCGGGAGAAGGGCGGGGTATAAATTTAATAAAATCAAAATCAAAATCAAATCAGAAGAATCTGACCTGCTTTCGACCTTCTTCCTATTATGGAAATTTCTTATTACAATGTTAGCCTGACCCTTTCTAACTAAGTAAACTTCAGATGTGTGGCTGACCCTGCCTAGTTTTTGCTTTCTGACTCTATCGTACCTTTTAAAGATTTTTCTCCTTTTTCATAGCATGACCACCAAAAGTTGTACACCTCTTCACTATATAAATATTTATTCTATTTATCATACCAAGACTATCCTGGATGCTAGAATCCATCTTTTGTTTATTATTTTATTATTCTTCAAAAAATAGTTTCCTTTTTAAATTTTAAAATGTCTACTGACACTATACTATCTGACTGTTTTGGTTTTTTTTATGTAGCTTACAGAGCACATTTCTCTCTCACTCCTACAATCAAATTTTTCATCCCAGTTGCTGGATTACCTTCTTAAACCACTGAACATTTTTTGAACTATTTAGGAAAATCTCTTAAATCGATGGTTATCCTTTCATCCAATGCATAGTTAATTTCATTTGGAACTGAAGGAAATAGCATATGCAAAAATAGCATATGCAAAAATATTAAAGGGGATTTATCTCTTCCTACCGTAGAAATATTTCCTACTTCTACACTGCAGCTTTTTGCTGCAGCTAACAACTGATTCTTTGTAAGATAAACACTGATCTCATTATTTGCAAACTGCTCCTTGGTCCACTTCCTGGTCCATGCCTACTAATTAAATAAGCAATCCAACACACTCAAACAGCAATGGAACTATTGTGCTTATACTGTGTGAGAAAATTATCAGTGAGAATTCCATTAGAAAAACCATGGAATTATTTTTGTAAAGGATAATTAAAGTTGCATTTTTATATAAAGTTGGATTATTACAGAAGTTGTAGAGGATAATTAAAGTTGGGTTTAATTCCATATTCAGTCATCAAAGCATACAAAATATCCTGCTGAATCTGGCTAAAGTATAGTGTGAAGGCAAGAAACGTTCCCACTGATGTTTTTTGTTGAAACAATATTTCATGCCACTTCTAATCTTGGAATAAGGTAGCTACTGATAGATTTATTTGTTATAGATATATCTAAATCCCTTCCAAGTCAAACTAGTTATCATTACTGCATCTGTGATACTTACTGTAATTCCATAATTTCATGGCATATTGGGTATTTAAAACTACATCTGCAATAACACAACAGCCTAAGACAGTGATGGCAAACCTTTTAGAGACTGAGTGCCCAAACCCCCCCGCCCCCACTCCAACCCTTCCTGCTCCGCCCCTGCCCGCCCACAGGGCCATGCACTGCCTCAATGGCCCACTGTAGCAGATCACCCAGGCAGCCCTGCAGCGCCATGGCAGCCACGCCCTCCGCCCACACCCCGCAGCAGCATCTGCACGCTATGGAGCACGAGGGCGGAGTCTTGTCCCTGCTGCCGGCTATGTCCTTGACTGCGCTCCTCCATGCAGGCTACGCTGGGGGGCGACTCTCCTCCAGGGGGCTTCTGAAGAAGAGGGGGTCACAGGGGGAGACGGGGCTGGGGCAATGGTGCGCGTGCCCACAGAGAGGGCTCCGAGTGCCCCCTCCGGCATGCGTGCCATAGGTTCGCCACCACTGGCCTAAGACAAACAATTTTCAGCCTCATCTAGCTCACAAGTCGCTGCAAATAAAACGTGTTGACTTAGTTATATATTTGATAACCTGTGTAGCCATCACATTATAAGAATGGACTATAAAAATTTACCAGAAATAACCATGATTAATTGCACATTCTCCCCAATGCTGACAAAAAAAGTGAGGAGATTTATTTAATGGATCCACTCCACAAATCACATGTGCTCTGAATCAAGTCTGTATTGGGCTACTCAATTGCTTCACTGCGCAGCTGGACTGTAGACACTCAAAAAGGATGACATATTTAATTATTATTACATCCCACTATCACAGCATAACTTACCATACTTCTCCCTTGCCTCTTGGTTGGTAAATGGGGGACTATGAGCTGATACTTGTAAGGTCAGGTTTAGCAATCATGGGCATCAAATTATTTTCAACATCCCAACTGATGTTATCATTATATCTTTTGGCACACACTGTCTGAAAAAGTTACTGACCCTACGCAATCACACAGTTTGTGATTTGACTGTAGGACTCCTAACTGCAGTGTCAACGCTGCTAACGTCGGATGTTCTTGCTTTTGACAACAGATGAAAAAGCAGCCATTTTCTCTTTTCCCTTTTTCTTGCTTTTAGAGTTAGTTGGTGCAAGGAGGGGGGATTGGGATGCGAGCTCAGTTAGCAATAATAATAACAACTCTGCCGTGGGAACTCAAAGACAAATTGGGTCCAGAGCTGATAACGTTTTGGCGGGCTGGAGAGCTGGGGAGAAAGCCCGCGCTATAAGCTTATTGGGGAATGTGCTTTATGACAGGTTATTGAGGGAGGGGAATTTAGTTTTGGGTTCAACTACGTAGTGCCAATACTTTGTTTCCCGAATAAAAGACTCTTTAAGGAAAACAATGCCTCAAAGTTCTTTTGAAGGGTTTCATCTGTCGGAACCATGACACGCAGAGCCCTAACATGTGGGAAATATGAGGTCTCAGATAAAGAAGCGATGAATGTGGAGGTGCTCTATGCAATAGCTTCTTTTCTAGACAACCTCTCTTCTCTTTCTTGTTTGACACTAAGGACTCCCTCTTTTAGAGTGCTTCTATTAACCTGAAGCCTGGTTATCATGAGGCTAAGAACCAAATTAGAGAAACTAGGAGGTCAGTTCTAAACCTTCACTTTTCCTTCTTGATTAGAGAATTCCATTGAATGGTTTGACCCAAGACATCATTTTTATTTATTTATTTCATCTAATTTATACAGCATTTATATCTGTGCAATTATTTCCTGCAGGATTCCCTATCATCTGTACACTCTTTAATATTTCAAATGATATAATCATGCCAATCTGACTGAAAGACAATCTTTCCTGACATTTTATTTGAATTTCTCTCACTACTGCTTTTGCCACCCAATACTCAGTTGTCATTTAGTTCACCCATATTCAAAATAAAAATTTGAAAAATGTGACATACAGAACATATGTCCTTTTATTAACTGAAGAGTATGGTAAGAGGATTGTGCCTGGTTTTTAAATAAAACAGAGGACGAGCAGTTATTTTGTTCCTATGTAATGGAACTTCACACTGGCCAGACTCTCCTTTAAGGTAATAGAGAAACTGAAGTATGTTTAATTGAAAAGGTTTTTGCTAGCCCATTATTTGTCCACACTTAAAAAAAAACAGCTAACAACACACATACCTCATCTCTATAGAGGGGACTTGTGTAATACATTATGTCCATTGCACTACTGTTAAGTAAATCCCTTAGTCCACGAACTTTATCTGGAGTAATAGAGTCAACAGTGTCTAAAATGAAAAAAAAGGAGAACCAGATAAAGGTGTGATAAAATCTTAAATAGTTCAAAATCAACAATTCAAAACATCTAAATCCATAACTATGGAAAATAATAATAATCATCATTAAAAAAACATAATAATCATAATAAGAGTTGGAAGGGACCTTGGAGGTCTTCTAGTCTAACCTCCTGTTCAGGCAGGGAACCTTATACCATTTCAGACAAATGGCTGTCCAGTCTCTTCTTTAAAACTTCCAGTGTTGGAGCATTCACCGCTTCTGGAGGCAGGTTGTTCCACTGGTTAATTGTTCTAACTGTCAGGAAGTTTCTCCTTTATTCTAGGTTGCTTCTCTCTCTGATTAGTTTCCATCCATTGCTTCTTGTCCTGCCTTCAGGCGCCTTGGAGAATACCTTGACTCCCTCTTCTTTGTGGCAGCCCCTGAGATATTGAAACACTGCTATCATGTCCCCCCTCGTCCTACTCTTCATTAAACTAGACATACCCAATTCCAGCAACCGTTCTTTATGTTTTAGCCTCCAGTCCCCTAATCATCTTTGTTGCTCTTCTCTGCATTCTTTCTAGAGTCTCAACAGCTTTTTTACATCGTAAAAAGATCAAAACTGGATGCAGTATTCTAAGTGTGGTCTTACCAAGGCATTATAAAGTGGTATTAACACTTCACATGATCTTGATTCTATCCCTCTGTTAATGCAGCCTAGCACTGTGTTGGCTTTTTTGGCAGCTGCAGCACACTGCTGGCTCATATTTAAGGGATTGTCCACTACGACTCTGAGATTCCTCTCATGGTTACTAATATTGAGTGAGATACCACCTATACTGTACCTGTGTATTTGATTTTTCTTGCCTAAATGTAGAACCTTACTTTTTTCACCACTGAATTTCATTTTGTTAGATAGCACCCAATGTTCAAGTCTGTCAAGATCCTTCTGTATCTTAAGCCTGTCTTCTGGAGTGTTGGCTATTCCTGCCAGTTGTCTGCAAATTTGATGAGTTCCCCCTCTATCTCCTCATCCAAATCATTGATGAAGATGTTGAAGAGCACTGGGCCCAGAACAGAGTCCTGGGGCACCCCACTACACACTTCCCTCCATGTAGAGGCAGTTCCATTGAGGACCACATGCTGAGTATGGCTAGTCAGCCAGCTATGAATGCATCTGGTGGTGATGCTGTCTAACCCACATTTTTCTATCTTATCAAGTAGTAGGTTGTGGTCTACTTTATCAAATGCCTTACTGAAGTCCAAGTAAATTATATCCACAGCATTCCTTTGGTCCACTAATTTTGTCACTTGGTCAAAGAATGCAATATGTCTGGCATGATTTATTTTTGACAAACCCATGTTGGCTTTTGGTAATGACTTCGTTTGCCTCTAGGTGTTTGCTGATTCGTTGCTTGATTATCTTTTCCAGAATCTGTATTTTCCTGGATCCATTTTTTTCTTTTTTGAAGATGGGAACTACATCAGCTGTTTTCCAGTCTTCTGGAAATTGCTCAAGTGCTGTGATAATTTGCTAGTTCATCACTACCAATATTTTCCTTTTATATCAGTTTAGGGAGCTGAAGGATGTTTGGGATTAAATTTAGAGCCAACTGTTCCAAAAACAACCCTATATTAAAGTGAGCAGATAGTATCCAGAAACATTTACAATATGGATCACTGAACAAGAAAAATTCAGTGCTAGAAGAAATATAAAAATGCTACATTCCAAGTATCACCAATGTCATCAGATTTAAAAAAGAGAAAGAAATACCTCCATCAAGTGTAAGTTTAGATCGCCATTCCACTGGCAAGAATTCAACATGTGTTGCAAGGTTGCTAAAATATTTGTCTTCAATTTTTCTTGCAGTTTCCCGCATCCTAGAACATTAAAAGGAAACAAACAAATGTTAGATTGAAAAATGAGTACTTCCATGAATAACAATAATATGCAAAGCAGACATTTATAGGAAATGATCTTGCCTAAAGCTACCCAACAAAGGATATTCTTGGGATCTGGTTATCTTAAGAACCACCTTTCTCCTATTTCTGCTTGACTAGAAAATTCTGGTAAAGTCAACATACTCCAGGTCCCAGCTGTAAAGCTCCATCATCTTGCAGGACCCAGGAGATGCACCTTCTTTATATCTCTCCTGTGGAATAGCAATCTTCCTCAGATCTGCATAGCCCTAAGCCTGTTGTGCTTTCGCAAATCTGTAAAAATCTGGCTTTTTCAGCAGCTCCTGGGAGAAAGTGAGGTGATTTGTTCTATGATAGTACATTTTGGTGTTCAATTATGATTTTGTTTAAATCCCTGGTAAATTGCATTTATTATTGTTTGCTTTTTCTTATTTTTATGCCACTATTTTTAACCTTCATATTGTGCAACCTGTGCCTCACTGGGGTCATTGTTTCAGTAACATTTTGTTACCTAAACAGGGAAACAGAATGACTATGGGTGGGTAAAAAAGTTGTGGGAGTGAGAGCTCCTTCCTTCCTTCCTTCCTTCCCTTCCTTCCTTCCTCTCTTTCTTTCTCTCTCTCTCTCTCCTACTCTCCCTCTCCTTCCCCAACCTCTTATCAAAGTCTGATTTAATTTCACTTCTGAGAAGCAAAGATTTTTGCAGTATTCAAAGGTCTAGATCAGAGCAAAACACTGCTCAACTTTCTAAACTGGATGTAAAAACTCCATCATGTTTATCTGATAAATTAAAAAAATCAGTACTATAAAAGCATCTAACATAAACTGTAAGACATTGCAATTTAAAATCAGTACAAAAACATATTTTGTAGTCTAATTAAATAGCACATACAATTCCTTAAACAGCTCTTATGTAGACTTAAGCAAAATTAACATATTTATATGTTGCAGCATTCTTCCCATTTTCTGATGTAAATTAAAAATACAGGTTGCAAAAAACAAATGAAGAACTTACATGGCAGTATTCCTTATAATCCTTCCTTGCTCTATTTTCTGTCCAATGCCATGCACAACAAATACAATGTGAGTTGTTGGAGAAGGCTTGTCTTCTAATGTAGCTTCTTCAACATAGCCTCTATGAAGTCTGGTCCCACTACTTGAAGCTGCAGAATGCAATTGGCATCATTTAATTCTTGAAAAGCCAATTACTTTGTGCAAAACCATCTTTCAAATGCCCAAGTAGAAAAGTTTCTTTAAATGTTTTTTTCCTCATTTGCTTTAAATACATTATATTGCATACTGAAAAATATACATACACAAGATATATATATATAGCAAGATTAACTTTAACTCTGCAATGTTACTACTTCAATAGCAGATATTTGTATGTAATGAAATACTAAGGTTATTAAGACTGAGGAAATCCAAGTTTAAACCATAAGCTCACTAGATAACTTTATGCCAGTTGTTACATTTCTGCCTATTCTACTTAAGAGTTTGTGAAGATAAAATGAAAGGAAAACTCATACAAGACTTTGGATTACAAAGAAAAGAAATATAGTTGCTATGAATAAATAATATTATATATATAAAATACTGTATGTTTCTTTATCTTAGATTTGGGGTAGCCAAAATATCTTAGGCTGGTCAGCTATGTTACAGTTGAAAAACATCCCTTTATCACAAACATTTAGTAAGTTTGGCAGAAACAAAAAAACCATACTTTATCATTTTAGGTTAGAGAGCTAATTTTATTATTTATTGAATTTATATTTTTATTTATTTATTGAATTTATATACCGCCCTATCTCCCTTACGGGACTCAGGGCGGTGAACTACGCCAGGCCGGCCACACGGAATAGATGCGCCTTCAGGGCTCGGCGAAAAAGGCGCAGGTCCGCAACTGTACGTAGGTTGGGGGGTAGGTCATTCCAGAGGGCAGGAGCTGCCACAGAGAATTTTATAGTTGTCTTTCTGAGTAGCATACGTTCATTATTAAGTACAGTTCAGAAAAATAACCAGTTCAGTTTTTCACATTTTTCTCAGAACATACAATATATTCAACAGGGATATTTTGACAATACACACAAAACTCTAATTAGTTTTACCTTTAGAAAAACCTAGCTTCTGAGAAACTGTTCTTGCAATTTTTGAAGTTGTTGCATCACTATACAGATATACCTCATCGACACTGTGCCAATCCACATGATTGCGACTCAGCTTCAAACTATGAACAGCTGTAGCAAAAAAAAAGGCTTTTAATTAAAAAAAATAAAACAGGAACTGCACCTCTTCCGGAACTAGGCATAGCAAAAATACAGGGAGAAAGAAATACAAAAACAAGGGTATCGATACTACATATTAGCATGTTACTCAAATATTAAATTGTGAATAATAAAAACACATTTGTAGCCAGTAATTTCTAAAATGATCCATTTTTTTCTAAAAGCTCAAAAACATGTGGGAATTTTTTTCTTGATCATAGTTAAAGAACCCTTGTCCCTATAAGCTCTATACTCTATTTTCATCACTTGCTTCTGTTTAAGTATTGTAATTTTAACTATTCTTATTTTGATTTTAATAACTTATGAGTTAGCACGGCACTTCCAGCTATGTAATTTTCATCTGGACAGATAAATGAAGAGCGTGTAGAGTATACACTTCCTGGATATAACTGAAGATGAGACTATTCAGTTCACATAAAAATATTCAGCACTTAACTTCTGTGTAGCATGCATTTATTATTTAAAATAGGGAATGTTTGGTCCCTCTGCTGTTCCTTAAATAAATGTTAGCTGCCTGCAGTTCTCAAAAGTCTAATGCCATCATCTAGGAGTTTAAAATATTTATGTACTACTAAAGATTCCCATGATAGAACAAAGACAAACAAGATGACACATCTGTTGAAAAGACAAGATATTCACATGAATAGTTTTTGGAGCAAAAGAAAATTGTGCTTTAAAAGGTACACATTTTTTAGCCATTCTCACATAAATGCTACTAGATGATAAACATAAGATAATACATTATGATGTGGTAAATTAGATGTTATATAAAAAAGCAGCCTGAATCCCACCTGTTTCATTTTTATTCTTTCTAAGGACTAGAGGATTTGGGAGGAGAATATATGAAGTGGCAGAGTATTTTGCTGTTAGTTTCTAAATTCTATATCCAATCTCATTGGATTTTTTAAAAATGCACTTCTTCCTTAAGTACATTTAGCCTACAGAGTAAAAATGTTTGACCTTAAAGACTGAATGTTATGAGTTAAATATTCTAATTTCACTAAGATCAACCAAGGGTTTCCTCAGAGGTGTGGAATTACCCTATAGATCATTAACTCATCAACTCTTACCCTGAGTTGTATAAATAAATGCAGGATACTGTATATACATATAAATGCATAGATATATAAATGTTGCTGATCAACAATAAGATGATTAAGTCCAAACTTAGAAATAGATTTTTCAGAAATTATTTCTGAGGCCAAATATGCACACAGCTCTGGTTTTTTTTTTAATGGTTAAAATAGGTGTAAACAATAGAAAACTGCCAAGGAAAGTATGCAAGAATATCCATTGTTAAAACAAGCCCAAACAGTGATGACTCTTCCCAATGTTATTTTACTGGACCTGTGATAAGCATGAAGCCTGACAAAACTTATGGTTGTTTAAACAGTAATTATTTTCTTATGAGCCCATGGTAAAAAGATAGGAAAAGTATTTTTTCCTACTTATACTTTGAGAATTTTGTTCCTTTCTGAGAATGAGAGCACTGTTTTTATTCAGTTTTTATTCAAAACTCTTATGACAAGTCTAACAAAAAATGCAAATGAGCAAAGAAGAGCAATGGACTTATTTCTATGATACCTAGGGGCAAAACATCTGGCCCAATACCCATTTCTCTTCCTCTTCATTTTTAAAAATCTCTTACATTAATCCACTTCAACATTTTATAAATTATTGTCAGGTTTAATCAAAGCAATTTTATTAAAGTATCCAATTAGCTGAACAGGCATTTAATTATGATCTATATCAATCTTTCACTAAACAACTGTTAAACAAATCATTATCTGGACAGGATTTATTAAAAAAAACCTTGCCCTTTTGTTGAAAGTAGAGGGCATTCCATGGCCAATGTTTATGTTAAGTAAATAACGTACAAAATATTTTGGAATTTTAATTGTTAGTATACTTTGTCAGAGCACCGCCAGCTTCTAAATTTCTTTGTAAGAAATAAAGCACGGGTGGTTTTGTTAAGATCCACAATGTCTCCTTTTTTGTTTTGTTTTGGAATCAGGAAATATCAAAATTGTGCAGAGGGGAAAGCATTTGGTTATCTAAATGCTCTAGAGTGCTACTAGCTACAGTGTAAAGCTTCCTATACAAGGAGAAGATAAGAACACAAATCTGTGATTACTGTACCTTCAGACCACTTGCGTTTAACCCCTGTTGCCTCTGCATTCTCCTTATATCCTCTCCATTTGAACAGAGAATGGAGGGAGAAGGTAGGTAGATAGTTGACAACTAAAAGTAAAAAGACCGAGCTTCAAAGTGAACTTTTGAGAAGGTTCATAATTGGGAATGATAGGGAAGTACCCTAAAAGTTAATGAACACAGAAAACAGAATAAAAATACTATGGATAAATGCTAGCAAAACAGAAAACCAATGATTTTATGGGGAACCAGTTAAATATGTAAATAAATAAATAATTTCCCTTACTTGTTCATTGATACAAGTAAGATTATGTTTAAAGAGCAGAAAAACAACAGATAAGCAATGTAAAAATAAATGGGTTCATCCATCACCTGTGAATTCATAGATATATCACTCAGCAATTTTACTGGGACTATAAAGTGCAACTCTGTAACATAGGCTCAGGATATTAGGTAGCCTAAGGAGATGGCTAAAAACAAGGGAACAAAGTTGGTCGCTTTCCAACTCTTGAAAGAAAGACAGGAAATTCCCAACATGCATTATCTATAACAAGACTTCCATTCCTGAACAGCACTGGAGTTTCCCTGTGGTGGTAAATGCACATCCACTGTGATGCTTTCAATACTCATTTTAAGCTTCCAAGCTATTCAATGAGAATATTGAAAAAAGTGAAACCCCTGAAGATTACTGTGCTGTAGTTTGATGGACTTACCTTACCCCCACAGGTAGATGCCAGTGCTGTTCAGTGTAGGAAGGGACATCACAAGGTGAATGAATGCTGAGGTATCTCACAAGTGGCAAGTTAGGAATGAAGAGGAAGCTGCTGTGCCCCACCTAAGAAACAGGAGAACAATAAGCACCACCAAGGTCAGTTGGCATTCAAACAGGGAGTCAAGCTCACTTGAAAGACAAAACGTGACAATTTAAAAAACTGAGCATAGGTTTGGAAGTCTCTGTTTGAACCCAAAACAAAAACAAAACCTTAAGTAGGTTACTGAGAATTAGATGTGGTGGTGCATTTACTGGACCCGACTGATCTAATCAAGAAAACATAAATTAAGATATTGAATAATGTTGTCCAAACTTCTGAATGGTCAGAGAAGGTAGCTGCAACTAATTAGTAGCACCAAAAGAAAGATTTCTATATACAAGTGACTCCCTCCTATCAGATTGCTCAGTAGTCATTTTCGTAATTTCCAAATGGCAATTATACATTATAATGAAAACTTTAACCACTAATGCTGATCCATTGCTCTCCTTAGAGAGAAATGCTCATTGTATGGCATTTACTCTATCTCATCTCCTTCTAATCAACGACTGCTGATGATATATTATTGTGTATATTTTTCCATTTGCTATGGTTGGCATGATATAGAAAATTTTGTGTAAAATATTATCCTTTAAACAGGGAGGATGGCATCTAAAATCGCTGTAGAAATTTCTGTTCCAGGCCCAGAATAATTAATGCAGAAACAAAAGGGAAGTATTAGAGCGATGAATCTCAGAAGTTCTAAGATAAAATGTTATTGTTAACATTGAATTCCGATTTCCTACCTATTTAACTGTACAATCATGCTGTAAAATTTCTGGTAATTTACCAACTTCCCATTGTCCAAAGTCTGAAAAGACAGCCAAGAAATTAACGAAGCAATTGGAAACCGGAGGGTGAATTGTGCCAAAATATACAACATGATGGGGTGTATGGAAGACTACTTTTCATCTCATTATGGAATCTAGGAGCAAATACAGATGAAACATGTTTTTCTTTGAAATATTTTTTGTCTTGTCTGTTCCCAGAGTCTAACCAGCAAGTAAAGAGAAAAGAAAGTATCTTTGTGTATTTGTGTGTGTGCTTGACCTAGGACAATGGGGGCATCTGGCCGTGGCAGATAAGTGGATGGCCAAAAGACCAGAGATAGTGGAGGGGGAGATAGGCAGGTGGGGGAAGTTTAAGAGAAGACAGAAGAGGCAGCCCTTTACATAACCACGGTTTGGGGTTGGGAGAGACCAAGCTGGGAATCACTTGGATTGGGCTGGGTCCTTGCTAATGACAGATAGGATTTATTTAATGACATCAACATGGACTGCCAAGATTGCCATCACTAAGGAGTGCAATTATGTGAAAGTGCATATTATGATTGCATCACTTAGTAATAGACATTCTGATCCTAATTACTGTATTACCTCTATTATCAATATGCATACTAATACTTACTGTATTTTAAGCTCCTTTCTCCTTTGTTATAGTTCTACTGTGAACCTTTAACCTATCCCAGCTGCTATTTAACATAGAAGATGAGCTTGGGCTAGCTTCAGTTCCATGCAAACAGTTTATGAAAGAACCTCAATACAGTTATTCTAAAATTGAAATAAAGTGATAAGAAAAATGCTACATACAGTTATACCAAACTGTACTATTTATATACTGTAATATGTAGCTTTGCCCTAGATTACACAATAAGCCAAACTAATGCCAAATAATATGAAGGACCTAGGGCTACAAATGCAGTAGCAAAGAGCAGGAAATGGTGTTGGCAGCATTCCCAGCACTGATTAACCATTAACTCTGGGCAAAGAGCATTAAAGCTTACCAGTATCCTTTATGCTGACTGGATTCAATCAGAAAAGGAGGGATAAGATCAAGTGCTTTTCCTATCTTACAATGTAAAAGGTCCCTTGCGATTTTAATAACAAGCAAAAGAAGATTCTTAGGCTGCACTGAAAGAAACATGTGGTATCTTCTATTCCTAGTAGTTTAAGGTTCAGTTTGTACAATAGGTAAAATAATAGATCTACAGGG